AAAAAAAATATCTGGGGATTAAGATTAAGACTCGCTTGGAGTGAGACACAAAGAGGAATCTGAAGAAGGTGAAACAGACACAATTTCGAATTTTGCATGTTGCCTTGTTTCAATCTACATAGCTCTTCATTAGTGAACAATTTATAATGACCAGACATAGTGGGAATGACTTTATCACACACTCTGGATTTCTTGGATACCGCATACCTGAAAGAAGGCAGGTGAACAATTCAGAATTCTGTTAAGTGTTGATAGTACTTGCTAATCTCATCTGATTTGGTAAGAGCAGAAACAAAAGATCCTAGTGAACTGCTGTACATATCAATCACCTTCAAGGATTAAAGGCTCAGATGGAACACAAAACACGAAGGGGTTCTTCAGGAGAAGGACTGAGAAGCACTGATGTACAGCCTGGAACACTTTTCTGCCTACGGCTACCCCACTTGCAATTTGGAGAATTTGGGGTTCAGTGCCATGCAAACATACAATATAAAGGTTCACCCCAGTCTAGATGGAGACCCTGGTCATATGCAAAACGTATATGAAACACTAAGAATCAAAATGAACAGAAATAAAACAGTTTTCTGAAGTCTGCTCTTGTGCCGACATCAACACTTAATCGGAAGGCTGATGTTCATCACAAAATGGAGAGGACAGAGAACCGGGTTATTGCATGGTGCTATGGGAGTGCTCGTTTTAGCATGAGGGAGCAAATCATCGGAGCAAAACAAAAGAAACAAAACCTAACTTTTGTCTCCACAGCCTGAACCCAGCAGGCGTCAAGGACTTTGAAACGGCGGCTAAAGAGGTGCAAAGGTTGTGTAAATGAACAAGAGTGCCTTACGGGCTGGGAGGACCAACACATCGAGGAGCCCAGGAGAGTGAGGAAGGTCAGAGCCACGCATTGAGACAGCCTCCTGGAAACACACAGAAGAGAAAACAAACACGGATATTCAATTATACACACACCCCTCTGAGGTTTAATCAGGGCAAGAGAGAGCGGGGCAGATACTTAAAGCCCACTTAGCACAAAAGCCCCAGCCTCAGGTCGCAGAGCAGTCATTAATAACAGCAAATAGCCTGGCTAGACCTGCCGTGACAGCCAAACTCCTGCAGAGAGGAACCAAGGTCAGACATTCCCCTTCATGCACTGAGAATCATTAACTCCCACCCCCAGAGAGAGAACTGCTGGGGTTCACCAAGCTCCCAGCACCCCAAAGACAAGCTGCTGCATCAGGCTTCAGGAGAAAAGCTTCAAGCTGAATCGGCCAGCAGCTTTTCAAAGACCCATCTTGAAGAGATGCTTGGGCAATATGACAGGGGTGCCATCTTAACTCTTCACCCCTCATCACCCCTCATGTGCCCAATTCCACAGGTGTCCCAGTCAAGTGGCAGCACTGCAGCATGAAAAAACAACACTTACTGAAAACCAACAGGTATGAAAAGAAAAAGGACATAACCCCGATAGGCTCAGAGGTGCCTTAGCTGCACCTCAGCAGTCGACAAATCCTATTATCATGATCTTTGGAATTGGAACAAGAACACTCCGATACAATAATTTGTATACTGTCCCAGAAAAGAACAAGAAGCAGGTTTGATATAGGAATGTAGGTCCTCTTTTTGACCTGGTGGCCTGGTCCTCTTTTGGCTGTGCTGAAAATTCCCCTTACAAAGTCACATCGCTTAATCGGAAACATTATCAAGCAGTACTAGGGCTCTGTGGATTGTTGCACTGACAAACAGCATGAAGACCTGACAAGGGCTGTGCGGCAAAGGAAGATGAGTCATGACATCCTCAAAACGGCTTCTCGGAAATCTTGGAAATTTTGGAAGCCCCCTTGCTGCTTCCTAACAGCAAACCTCAGCATTCGTGGGCCAAGGATTAAAGTAAGTTCAGGTTTCTCACTCTTATCATGAGGTTCTCCAGGCTGCTTATGACTAATACAGGTTTGTTTCTCTATAGAAAAAAAAAGAAAGTGCAGCCTGTGTTCTTTTACAAAAAAACAAATGCAAAATGTCTTTTTTTCATTTTCTTGATGAAAGGACTATTTACTCCTATTCATCTTTTTAGGAGGAGGCTTTTCAAGACCCTCCATCCAGAACACTGTTTTCGATTTTGACCCCTGTCGACAGCTGCCCTGTCCAATTAAACGATACAGATCTTCCCCCACACCTCTCAGATCAGCCCCAGCCTTTCCTCCCTCCTGCTGAAACTGGAGGAACACAAAGACTTGGCCTTGACCAGCCTGCGTGCCAAGTCCTCTGCCCTGCGCAACATGCTGTTCTGAGAAAAACAGCTAGGAATGGCCGCTTGTTAATTACAAGGACCGTTCATTTGTGTCATTTTTGCCGGGACCCTCATTAAACGTGCAGCATCTCAAAATTACACTCATTAAGGTAATTGCAGCATAGAACAACCAGCGAGTAGCATCAGGGTGTTGTGCTGGAAATGCCGTAGGAAAGGAAATGTTTTTAATCAATATGAGCCAAAATATGTGCCCAAAGAAAAGAAAAATCATCCAGTTTCTGAAAATTTTATTATAGTTGTGCCTTGGGGGAAAAAAAAGTTCTCTGAAAGCTCAAATGTTTGTTTAAAAGCTGTAGCCATTAATCACACCATCAAAACATGTTACTCCCACTTTCAGGTACTGACTGGAAACAGACTGTAAAATTTAAGACGGTAACACAACGCTTTCTGAGCTCAGGATACAGCAGTACCTTCAAACACAGAGCACAGCTTCTATAAGTTGTGGATGTGTCACCAGGTTACAGAAGGGACAACTGTCTACACCTTCAAGTGGGGAGCTGTGTCAGCATGCGTAGGCTGCAAAGGAACAAGTAAAGGTTTATTCCATGCTGAAAAGACACTCAAAACGTTCTGTCTCTTTTCCTTTCAGCAAGGAATAAACCTTTACTTGATCCCTTACTGTCTACACCTGACTAGCTAAAAAAAAAATCACTGCTCCCAGAACTTAATAAAGACTCCAAATGTACATATGCTACTCCTCACTCTCTGCAGGGGTAGATTAGTTAAGAAGGAATCTAACAGGGTTAGAATTGTTTTAATCAAAAAAAGAACAGTACGGAAGAACTGTACTGGAAAAAAATCATTTCCAATGTTCTGCTTGCTAGTTTGCAAAAACCATACCATTTACCTACTGTAGTTCCCTTTCCTCTAAAGGACCTGAGCATTTCAATATTTCAAGTTTTTTGGCGCAGGCTGTTAGCTAGTTAAATGGATCCATACTCCGTATGTCATGATTTCAAATGAAAGCTGTGTGATGTCATCTCAGCGCTGATGTTTCCTCCTCAGCTGGAGTACACACCGTGCAGGTGAGAATGTGACCTCTGCCCCTGGACACAGTTCAGCATGTGCCACTAATAAAAGAGGGCTGAGAAAATAGCAGACTGCAGCACAGGTCACCTGGCAGTGGAAACCACAGCTGAAGAGTGGGAACCAACAAGTAGTTCACAGATAATTGCTAATCTCTATGCCTGTAAATCACAGTCTACAAATATACTTTCACTGGCTAGCCTGGGCTTTCCTTTTTACTGTGTCTGTATTTCAAATAAAAAAGCAAGGCACGAAGGTAAAGAGAAGGATATGAAGAGGTGATCATATGATGTTGGTCTGGAATTTTGTTAATGTGATTGTCCAGACTTTTGTGCTGAAACATTGACATTTTGCTAAATAATTAATTTATTTTGGAGGGTTTATAATGTGTGTCCAAATGATCCTATTTTTATATTGCTTTTTCTTTGGACAGAACTTCTGCGACGTTTGGGAATGTGTTCTTTCCTTTTAGCGGTTAGCCTGGGATTTGCAACCCAATGCCCCACTGTGGTGACCCAGGCCACTATGTTGTAGGAGGTGCTGTAATTCAAATGGTCAATGAGGATCCCACAAGCACTTTTTGCAGGAGCAGGGATGTTAACCCCACTATCCCGTCTGAATAGTACTCTGGGTTTGTGCAATGTGGATTTCCTGAAGTTCCCTGTTAATTCAAATGGTAATGCAGGTTCTCTCTTCATCTCCAGGATGAAATGGGTCCTCTCCTACATGTCAAGGTCTTTGTGATCCTTAGGAATGAAATTCCACTATATATGCAAACTATATATATGCAAGGTATTATTACCATTAAACAACATTACTAGTAGAAAAGGAAATGGATTACAATGATGTCACTGGCCTGACTGTCTCAGAAGAATTCACATGTGGCAATTTAGGCTAGTTCAGGATACTTTGGTTCCAAGGTTTTTATAAGCAGCAAATGTTCCTTCATTGAATACCTGCTTTAATTAAGAACTCCCTGGCTGTGTATCTTTAAATAAGCACTCTATCCACTCATCTGCCCCATTACTTTCTGTGTCTAGACATAGAATAAATCCTATTAATCCATCATACCATTGAGGTTATTGTGTTATCCTTTAACAACTAGAAAACACAAATATCCCTATAGGACACTGCTTTTACTGAAAGACAGGTATGTTTGCAGCCAGATATAATACCTAGAGATTTAAGTGTTTCTACAAGGCTTGTGCAGATACTGAAGAAATTAACTAAACAGAGCATACATTTACAGCAGATCTTTTCTACTATGTATTTAAGTGTCATTGTTAAATTGGTGAGCTTGGTTAAATTTGAAATAATGCTCTCCAGCCCCTGTATGTAACATACTGCTATGATAATCTGGCATCATTAGCAAGTCATAAGCCACGGATTTCAGACCACAAGATTCCACCATCCCCGATCTCTAGACTGAAAGGCATATAAACACTAATCACTGCGTCTCTGCGATACCCATAGTCAGCTCTGGTCAACTGTGGACAGAGAATCGTGCAAGCTGAAAGATATCTTTAACTCATTGATCACTATAAACACATGGTTTTATTTGATTGTTTAAGCGCAGTAATGAGATCTGTTAAGTGTGTGGATAAAAGAAAAAAACAGAGAACTCTATGGACCTCCAGGGATACGCTCTGATATGCTCTGCTTTCAGTACTTCAAGTACTTTCTTTATTCCCTGTCCCATAATTATTATACAGTACATCTTCAAAACAAGCTGTTTTCTGCAAAACACAGCCTTGCCTTGCCCTAGGAGAACAGGGAGAAACTGGAAACTGTGAAACTGTGCTAATCAGTAGGCCAAGCAGTGCCCATCATAATTCACAGTGCCCACTATTAATCACACTTGACTATTTTACGGCTGCACCTGCTATCTGACTGACACATTCCAGTTGTCATACAGCAAAGCCTTCAAAATGACAAAAGCAGGCAGTCATCAAGGAATAGAGAAGCAAGTTAAATGGGGCTTTTATAATGCTGATAGGTTTTCCATCTCAAAGTAAGCACATCAGACCTACCCATGGGTATTTAACTGGCACACAAATGTGCTCATACACATTCTCTGTGCCAAGAGTTGTTTTTAATCCCCCCTCCCCACTTTAAGGGATACCTTTTACATTTTATACTGGGAGCTGGGAGAGCTACCATTCAGGATGAATGAATGGATATACCATTGTAGTGACAAAAATCTAACATCAAAGCTTCAGGCATCTTAGGTTATTTTAACAATTTATAGTAATATTTGGCATAAATGATAGAATTCAACAGAACCAACTCCGATGCCATGAACAGGCCATGTTTAAAGCAAAAACTCGTCTTTAATTCCTCGCTGTTCCTCTTTTCCGAGCCACGCTAAGTTTACTAGCTGTGTACTTCAAATACGCAGTCATTCACAACACAGGGACAGTGTATAGATAAGGAAAGACAACACATTTGGAAATATTTAAAGAGATATTCAGATGTAGACGCGAATGATGCGGATATCGTCGTTCCACTGACTAAGAAAACTGATATAGAAGAGCTCACATTGCCCCCGTCCAAAATCTGCGGGAGGTTTAAAATGTTTTGTCCTCATCCCGGGAAGGCTTATCGCTTCTGAAGCTGCTCCGCACTCTGGGAAGCTCACCCCAAGCGTTTAACCGAATCTGTGTTAATACCAACATATTCTTCCTGAAAGCAATATAGTACAATAGTACAATATGGTGTTAAAAGTAGTTAATCGCTTTATTCGCTTTTGAGAGATTGTACTGCTTATTAATTTAATGTTATGCATAGATTTAAAGCTTCCAGAAGAAAAAGCGTTAATCAAATTTACTACTGTGTGCACATATAACATTTACCATGAATAGCAATATCATTATGCGAATTCGTTAAATTCTCTTTGAAGCAATGTCTCAGCTCCATGGAACTGTTGGACTGAATGATCATAAAACATTTCTGCCTGTATTGTCCTAGTTCGCAGTAAAAACTCCTTTCAGTCACATTCCAATTCAGCTTTATTCAGCTATATTTTCCAAAACCGGACTGGCTTGTCCATAGAATCGTTCTTGCGCTTTTGTGGTCAATTATTCAACGGAAAGAGGGGAAGAAAAGAAAGAAAAAAACGAAAAAAGTATCGACTCTTGTTTTTAACACAATCTCACGTAAGTTTTTAAAAACATTATATAGAGAGATTATAATGCTAGTTAGCACGACATTAACTTCTGGGTAAATATTTGGAACATCTCCTCAGAAGTCTATTTGACCTCTAGTTAGAAACAAAGACATTTGATATCCCTACCGACTCCATCCACTGTCAGAAAGCTGTTTTTTTGTTGTTGTGAAGGGTCGCAACGCATCAGACAATGCTTACAGACATGAACAGAGCATATAGGCATAATGTTAGTCTGTACAATTTAAAAAGCGGAGAGGTGGGGTTATCTAAATGAACTCTTCCATTGTCTTCTTTCAGAACAATAAACCAGAATTACAGCTTCGAAAACAAACTTACCTGCACGCTAGTGGTGACATACTCCTTGGAGACGAGAGGTTAAAATGCACAGTCCCGATGCACGAGTTATATCTCACGAGTTGTATCTTGGGGCTTATACCATATCGACTACAAACAGAACAAATTAAAGGACTGGGAATATTGATAAACGGTTTTTCAAGGATGGAAGTTCTGAGAGAGTGTGTGCGCGCACTTCAGCTTGATTTAAAGCGCACCTCTACTTCAGGAAAGTTTTAGGATCACCCCATTGTAAATCCCAAGGTATGGGAATCTTTTGTTTGAACAAGGACATCCCTTCTTGAAGATGTTAAATAATGCCGTAACAAATTAAGGTGGAAACAGCGTTTTTGCGGTGTTCTTGAAGATTGGAGAGAAGCCCTGGCGCTTGAGAGCTCTTCCAGGGGCTCTCTCTCAGAGACTGCGCCGGGCGCTTCGTGCCTTCAGAGCGCTCCTCGCGATATAATTACTGTTTAATCGTTTTCCTTCAAATACTGTATTTCTTTTTTTCTTCCCTCGTCGCACGCCACATCACTGTATCGGAGAACGAGCCCAGACAGATCTCTCCTTAACCCTCTTCCCTTTCTTCACAAAACAGTACCAGGTGTGAGATTATAAAAACTTCTACACTGTCTTTTGGAACTTCATCATGCTCCCGATCTCTGCCCTTTGGGAAACGACAAAAAAAAAACACTCGTGGTGGAAGTTCAATAAAACACTGTATTCCTTTCCCGGTTTTATAGTAACCTTGTTAAAAACAATTTGCACGACAAAAACACAAGAAACACAAAAACAAGTGTACGACACTTGTTATTCTTCCGACTATACAGTAGGTGTGGTGTGAAATAAGGTCGAGCTTTTTTTTCCAAGTGAATGTGACAGACGTCGTTTGAAGAGGGGAGAAAGATTAATGATTAGATGCGTTAGGGTTGTGTCCTTTTTGGAGGGTGGCTCACTCACAGACTTTTCTAGTGTACGCTGTCCAAAAAGTGAATTCAGAATTAACCTGCTGGCTCCAATAATGTTTTCTGTCGAGCAATTTAAGCAGGTCTTTTGCTGTCGACCTGGGCGGGGACCAGACGGATGACAGCGTAATGTTTTTCCATTTTACCTGTAGATATGTCAGTTCTCGGCGCCGCGGGCAGAGGACTTGCAAACTGAGCGCACCGATAACTGAAACCGGAGCTCCTCGTGTTAACCAGCAGTGGTTTCTTCACCTGCAGTTGACTCTACCCGTTCCTGCAGTGTCAACCTCGTTTCAAGTTCCAGCACAGTGAAAACCTTTAGTTTGCTGTGTCTTGCGGCGCTGAGGTCCATCACGCAGTTCTGTCAGTGCAGGTATGCGGTACACATTGTCCCAATCCTCACCGTCTGTTGGCTGTTTTCAGAGCTTTTTCTTCCTAACAAAAATTGACTATTAAGATGTCCACGTACTTTACATGCCCATCCCTCTCGTTTCCAAGTGAGAGTACTGCAGTTCAAGTAAAAATGAAGCAATCATTCGAATGATAGATGAAAACCAGACTGAGACTAGTTTTACTTTTAAGAAGTTTTATAACGCTTGTTGTCATTTATTTCCTTTGCGCCTGTAATTAATACTGGAGAGTTGTCCTTCGTACTCTTAAGTCCCCTTGAAAGCGCACCTCCAGTTGAATCCATTCTGAGACTCAGCTCATGTGTTCATGGCCCTTTTCCAGAAGAAAAGTGTACACCTGAGCCCCGCCTCCAATACTTCGACTTTCCAATCAAATAAGTTCCCTTCTCAGATTTCAACCAATCATAGGAGACGTACTTCGAAACCCACCCCCCCCAACCCGATAACGCGGAGTTTAATGCCAAGAGCAAATGGAGTGGGGAGTTGGATTGCGTGTTTCAAATAATTGAACATTCAATGTGAAGGGTGATAAAACAGTAGGTAGTTCTCGGAGATCGAATCAGCCTATCCTTGAAAGATCTCACATGTCTCGTGGACATAAAGGTGACCAAGCCTGTAAATAAGAAACATAGATCACTGCTAGACTAAACTGTGAGAATAAAAACATATCTTGATAATAACACTAAGTAATACAGAGACGTTTGAAGAAAACAAAAGCTGTAAGTAAATGAAGCAACTGTCCCTTTAGACCACTTTAGAAGATCAACATCAAAAGTAGTTCAAGTAGGGAGCTGCGTCAGCATGTGTAGGCTGCAAAGGAACAAGTAAAGGTTTATTTCATGCTGAAAAGAGATAAAAGGAAACAACGTTTCGGCTGTGGAGCCTTCTTCGGGTGTGTAAGTGAAAATGTTTCAAAATTATGTGAAAATGTCATCAAAATCTGTGAAAATGTTTGTCCTGAGATGTGTCTTATTTGCATGGTAATGGTTTATGATTCTCGTTTTCCATTTTCTCATCTTTGATGAGAGCTCAATCCAGGCGTTGGTCATGCAGTATATTTCTGTGCTAAAAAAAGTTTAATGTCCTCCAGCACTGTAAACTTGTATTTATATCACTCATGTGTAATTTGTAATGATTAAGGTGTGGTTACAGTTGTAGAGGGAGCAGAGCTGCTCTCTGTTCTTGATATCACAGGGATGCAGACACCGGATTAGAGCACACCTTGTGGAACCTTGGCCTCAGACCTCCTCTCTCCTTTGATTCGCCTGTGCATTTCAGGGTTTAACCAGAATTCCCCTGCTGTAAGAGTAAACAGTGACACACAAACAAGCCATTATCTCTTACTGAGCATTTGCAGCAGTATACTGAAGGAATTGGAGGGAGGACAGATTCAGGATTAAGAACAGGTAGCACTTCTTTAAGCAAAAGACTGTAATGTAAACGTAGCCTAGTCAAGTCTGGGACTAGAACTGATATAGAAAAGATATAGTATAATTAGACCGTGTAATGGCATTTCTTTCACTTATGACCCCAGAAAGAAAACAATATATTCTACATATATAGGCTTTTATAATTGACTTTGAGTGGCATGGTGGCGCATTGCTGCCTCTCAGTGCGGGGCACTAGGGTTCAGGTCTGGGCCTGGGGTGCTATCTGCGTGGAGATGTTGTCACCATGTTTGCATGGGTTTCCTCTAGGGGTTCCAGTTTCCTCCCTTAGACCCAAAGTCCAAAAACATACCATTAGGTTATTGGCTTCTGGGAAAACCGGCCTTGGCGTGAGTGTACAGTATGTGTATGTCTGTCTGTCCTGGGATGGACTGGCGTCTCATCCAGGATGTACCCCGTCTTGTGCCCATTGCTTGCCTGGATAGACACCGGCTCCCCTGTGATCCTGAATTGGAAGAAGTTAGAAAAAGAATGGATGGATCATTTGTCATGGATGTCGGAAAGGATTAGCCAGGCAGGAGAGGCAGGAGAGCGAAAGGACCCTATGCGTAGCGGTGAGACGGGGGTTAGCCCGGGCTCAGCTGTTCAGGAAATGCCATATAGAAACCTATGCTCTCAGGTAGCGAACGTGGGGCGACCTGGTGCTAGGCGGGGTCTCAGGACATCCGAACGTCACTGCTGAGCCTGGCTTAACCCCCGTCTCGCTGCTACACATAGGGTCTTTTTTGCACTCCTGCCTCTCCATGGCTCGTCCTTTCCGACATCCGTGACAGAATGCTGAGCCTTTTTTGACCCTGCCTAGCACCAGGTCATCCACGTCCGCTACCTGAGGGCATTGGTTTTTATAAGGCATTTTCTGAACAGCTGAGCCCGGGCTTACCCCCGTCTCGCCGCTACGCATAGGGTCTTTTCGATCTCCTGCCATTCCACGGTTCGTCCTTTCCAACATCCGTGACATCATCGACTCAGTGGTCTCCAATGTTTCTCCTTGTCCATGGATTGCCATACCTTGTAGTTTATCCAGGATCTCTAGAGAACTCATAAGACTAATAGTAGTTAACCACAGTTAACCAATTTGTTTTTAGAACACAGATAAATATCAGATTGGGATCACATGCTGCGGCTGTAAAAATAGAGATTTTCATGTTATCAAAGAAGAAACTGTTTAAGAAGGTGGCAGTAGTGAACATATCTGGGTGGGGTGAAATGACTAACCTCAGGCCACGAAATTAAACAATCAAACGCAATGATAAGTGGTTCATAAATGCAGTATGAGTAACAGGTTTATGTCAAAACAGCGGTTTTGACAATATAGACTGCAATGTAGCATTAGCTCATTCTGAGTACAGTACTACTATACTTTCAGTACCATGTCAGAACAGATCCCACATGGAAGTTGATGAAGTTTGGACCTTGCACTGCCTGGGTTCTGTTTTCCTGAAAGCTGGAGTTAGCAGGGACCTACCGCAGCACTAAAGTGATGTATTTTCACAACATGACCTTGCTGTAAATTACATCTCGAGCACCTGATACCAGAAGGAAGACCTCTAATTGGTTTAGCTCTGCTTCTAGGAAATTGTTTGCACATGGGACTTGATTTGACTCTGGGCACTTTATGCACTTTATTATGTGTTTTCAGTCTTCGGAGCAGTGCTGAGTGCTGAATGCTTAAAACGGGAACAGATTTTATGTAGTGAACTGCAAAGTATGCATAACACATGTTGACAGACAACCTTTTTCAAACTAGGTAGGACTGATATTTAACATGGAAGAATGTACATAAAATAGAACACAAAAACAACACTTCTTGTTTTAAATTTTAAAATATAAGCATCTTGTTTTCTTTCACAAAGGCTGCCCATCCTGCCCATCCTGCTGCTCACCTATGGCTTTCCGAGATATGTCCAAGACCACCTAAGACACAGGCTGTCATGCTGCCTCATGCAGGAATGCTTTGGACACAGTGGAATTTCAACTTTCACCTCCTGGCTGTTCCTGAGAGAAGGTTGTTGCTCTCTGTGTCGAGAGCCTGCTAGTCCGCTCCAGTCACAGCCTCACCCGGTGACCTGCCCCGGCCTCCACACGCCGGACCTCAACACCCCGTTAGCGTGAGAATGTGTCAGCGGGGTCAGGCCCTGCTGTCTGTGTGGGCACGGGTCCCAGTGGAGAGTCTCCCCTTTCTTCCCATTCAGCCCTGGGCTCCATTCCCTCTCCTCGCAGGAACCTTTCCCACCACCACCATTACTATTTCTCTTTTTTTAACTTGCGAGTCCATATCCATAGTCATTGATACAAATAGGGAGATTAGGCTAGAATTCTCTTCTCCTTTTAATTTAAAGCAGCAAAACAGACATAGGTGCTGCAACAAAGGCAGTCTGCCTGTAGTTGAACCCTCCATGCTACTATCTGTAATCTTAGAAAAAAAAGCTCAAAGACATTCTGCCTTTAGTGAGTGAATTTTGTGTTCAATGAGTGTAGATGTGGGATGTACTGTGGTTAGCATTACTGCCTCACTGTGCGGGAGCCCTGGGTTCAATTCCTGGGGGGCTATATGGGTGGAGTTTGCATGCTCTGCGTTTCCTGCATTTGCGTGTATTTCCCCCAGGTGCTCTGGGCTCCTCCCACAGACCAAAGACATGCTGGTAGGTTAATTTCTGTAAAATTGGCCTTGGTGAGAGTGTGTGCGTGTTTGTGTCTGTGTGTGCCTGTGATCGACTAGCGTCCTGTCCAGGATGTATCCTGCCTTGCGCCCAGCGCTTCCAGGGCTGAGCGCCGGACCACCATGACCCTGAGTTAGATAAGCGGTTCTTGAAAGTGATGTGTTGAATGTAGACTAATGTATGAGATTTAAAAAAGTATATAAAATGTCCCCAGGGAAATAACTACAGAAAAACCAACGACGTGGAGACATCTGTCATTTGAATTTCCTGGGTTTTTTTTCCAGGCAATATATGGTTAAAATAATTTGGCTTCTCCTCTATTACTCACTTGTTGTGGAGTTTCTTTTCAGAGGAGACAGAAAAAGAACAGTTAAGACAGAACAGCATGGCATTCAAAGGGAAGTTCCTACTAATACAGCAACCTCTACTGTGTGTGAGCGTGTTTGCTGTGAGAGAGATTAGTAAACTGGCGTGTATGATTCAGCTTCAAGGCAATGGGCTGTGTGGCTCTGGCCTGTGCTGCAGAGTATGGCCAACACCCAACACAATGGGCCGCTTCAGACGACAACCCAGGACAGCTTTATTGCCTGCAAGAGACAAGGGATGACAGCCCAGAGTGCTGTAACCTTATCAGCAGCACTTTAAACACAAAAGCTGGGGCTCCGTGCCAGGAGGATAAAAAACGGCCAACATACTGTATCTGTCATGTAGGAGAATATTTATGCGAAACCGTTAAGAGTCTTAGTACAAAGGGAAAACGGTACGACTCCAGTGGAATAAGGAAAACATCTGACCTGAATGCAGAGAAGAAACTCTGTGTCTCTGCCTTTTGCATGGATGCTAGTGAGCCTTATCTGTGAACAGAGTTCTGTTTGGTGAAATTCCAGTAAGGCTGTGCCTTGTGTGCCTGAATTTAAAAGGCTAAGTCTGACCCCAGGGGATACAGCCCTTGGCTTCTAGGACAGAGTGAATCCAAGCAACCTACGTGACAAACTTCACAGCATACATGCAGAGAAGTGATCTTTATCAAGGCGAGAATATTCCAGTTACTTCACAGGCCTGTGACATTCAGAATTGAAGTTGTGCGTCTCCAGCACTTTCTGGGTGAAACTCAACTGTATCATCTGTTTTTATTACCTGACGCCGGGAGGAGCCTGTGTGTGTGTTGTGTCGTGTCAGGGTGTATTTCTCAGGGAAAGGCATGTCTCTGTGTGTGATTTCCTGTAAGCATGTCAGTGCCTGTGTGAGAGTGTGTGTGTCTGAAAGGGAAGAGATACAGCTGACATCTCAGCCTTGCAAGTCATGATAAGGGCATTTGAACTGAGAAGTACTAATTCGTTGTTAAACAAATAAGCGTATTAATTAAAAATTCTGTTAAAAGCTTATTAATTAAGTCTAGTGAGATAATAAAAATAGAAGAAGATCCATTTTTTGAAGCCACTTGGGAAGAAGGGTTTGTTGGCAGGCATTTTGGCCCCCAAATCAATTTAAGATGCCTGTCCCTGAAACCGCCATGAATAGGAAACAATTGTTAAAATCATAATGTTATGCATCTAAACAAACTGTCAAAACAAAAGCTCCCAGGAAACATCATAATAATTTCCATTTGTTTTTCAATATCAGTCGCTTTCCTGCCAGTTACTATTCTAAAATTAGCTTGTGCAGAACAGGGTTTTCGGGGGATAAGTATTCAAAATGGATTCTGCACTAATATGAGATAAATGCATGGGACAGCACACGGTGAACACTCTTACAGGAAAAGGAGCATACGTTTTCTCTTGAGCGTTCAATAAGTCACTGTCAGTTTATTCACAGAGTCTTCTCTGAGTGCTGTGTGCTCTGTTTCAAAAGTCCCTTGATTTAATTCTCAGATTACTAGTTCTAGCTAAAAATACATCTGTTTTTAAACAGAGTGCTGTGACTACATTTCATGGAATGCTTTTCTTTGTGTAGATGTGCTGTTCTTGTTGCTTTTCCATTTAGCCTTTTTTAACACAATTACTCCATACCAGTTCCGGGCAATTTAAAATGTCGGAGTGCTATCCCACCACAAATGTGCAGGCAGGCCAGGGCTACCTCCCCTTGATGACTAAGGTGCAGCTGGAAAAGGTGAGCCTGCTGCAGGGGGGAAACAGAGATTATTTTGCAAATTAAATAATATCCTGCTCTTGCCAAGCTGTCACTACACAAGGTCCTGGGAAAGTTGGAGCAGTCTGAGCAGTCTGAGAGTGAGATAAAACCTCAGAGACTGTGTGAGACACCGGGAGATTTAAATTGAGCATCACAATTCACAACGGACCATATTTCAGG